ATATGAGGTTTGTCTATGTCCAGGTTATATGAGGTTTGTCTATGTCCAGGTTATATGAGGTTTGTCTATGTCCAGGTTATATGAGGTTTGTCTATGTCCAGGTTATATGAGGTTTGTCTATGTCCAGGTTATACGAGGTTTGTCTATGTCCAGGTTATATGAGGTTTGTCTATGTCCAGGTTATATGAGGTTTGTCTATGTCCAGGTTATATGAGGTTGTCTATGTTGTCCAGGTTATATGAGGTTGTCTTTGTCCAGGTTATATGAGGTTTGTCTATGTCCAGGTTATATGAGGTTGTCTATGTTGTTCGGGTTATATAAGGTTTGTCTATGTCCAGGTTATATGAGGTTTGTCTATGTCCAGGTTATATGAGGTTGTCTTTGTGGTCCAGGTTATATGAGGTTTGTCTATGTCCAGGTTATATAAGGTTGTCTATGTCCAGGTTATATGAGGTTTGTCTATGTTGTCCAGGTTATATGAGGTTTGTCTATGTCCAGGTTATATGAGGTTTGTCTATGTCCAGGTTATATGAGGTTTGTCTATGTTGTCCAGGTTATATGAGGTTTGTCTATGTTGTCCAGGTTATATGAGGTTTGTCTATGTCCTGGTTATATGAGGTTTGTCTATGTCCAGGTTATATGTGGTTTGTCTATGTTGTCCAGGTTATATGAGGTTTGTCTATGTCCAGGTTATATGAGGTTTGTCTATGTCCAGGTTATATGAGGTTTGTCTATGTCCAGGTTATATGAGGTTTGTCTATGTCCAGGTTATATGAGGTTTGTCTATGTCCAGGTTATATGAGGTTTGTCTATGTCCAGGTTATATGAGGTTTGTCTATGTCCAGGTTATATGAGGTTTGTCTATGTCCAGGTTATATGAGGTTTGTCTATGTCCAGGTTATATGAGGTTTGTCTATGTCCAGGTTATATGAGGTTTGTCTATGTTGTCCAGGTTATATGAGGTTTGTCTATGTCCAGGTTATATGAGGTTTGTCTATGTCCAGGTTATATGAGGTTTGTCTATGTCCAGGTTATATGAGGTTTGTCTATGTCCAGGTTATATGTGGTTTGTCTATGTTGTTCAGGTTATATGAGGTTCATCTATGTCCAGGTTATATGAGGTTTGTCTATGTCCAGGTTATATGAGGTTTGTCTATGTCCAGGTTATATGAGGTTTGTCTATGTCCAGGTTATATGAGGTTTGTCTATGTCCAGGTTATATGAGGTTGTCTATGTCCAGGTTATATGAGGTTTGTCTATGTCCAGGTTATATGAGGTCTGTCTATGTTGTCCAGGTTATATTAGGTTTGTCTATGTACATTGTCGCTCGTTAAATGAGAATAATCTGATATATCGAGCGACGGAAGGACCGTTTATCATTACCATATGTTTAATTAAAGAGATACTAATTCTCATTAAATGTTAATTAACACCAGAATTATTAAATCCTATGTGAGCGGTGACTCATCGTTTTTATTGCAATAAATGTAGTTCAATTGTAAATTTGTAGTCTCATAAAGCCTTAGTGCTTAATTACCTCTCCTCTTAAAACTACGACACCAAACCTCATAAAATGCTGGAAGTCAATGCAGAGTTCTATCCCTTACATTGTAAACAAACAGACATGAGTTTACTTCTGCTTCATTCATTTGCAAACCTTATCACCTTCCTCGCCCTCATCATCGACTTTAAAAACAGTCAACAACATATTTCAACACCTCTCAATTTTCCAGCCAATACCACTTACCTTACCACCCCCCGGCCATTACCCCCCTCCCCCCAACCAGGTAACAGGAACAAGGCAAGACAACCTTTCACCATTGTACAACCCCAACTCTGACACGAGAAAGCCAATACTTATTACATTCTCGTCAGCAGTCGTTGACCCCCCGACCCACAGAGAGAAATGAGCGACCTAAATAGATTTCATCTGACATGGGGTGGGGGCAGTGTGTGTGTGCGTGTGTGTGTGTGCGTGTGTGTGTGTATAAGTGAGGCAGCTTGGTCAGAAAACATCTGGCTCTGACCCACGGTCCTCAAACTGGTGGGGGTGGGGATGTCCACACGGGCAGTAAATTGTTTCATGTTGAAACAGACTCCGTTTTGTAACACTTTGTAGTTGGGTAGCTGGTGCAACATCTGGGACGTGGGCAGGGTGAGGGGAGCGATGAATACATACAATGACGTCAACGTTTGACTTGATTAACACATTCTAGCCTAACGTTTCCTACTAGTTTGGTGATTTTTATGTTTAACTACATCCATTTACAAAAAGGCGGCGTTTTTGTACAAATGCTCAAAGGGTGAGCGGTAGTTCCGTCTGTCCCCTTCTAGCAGCGCCCCTGAACTAGGGCTCTTATTATGCTCAGAAAACATCCCGGGGTTCAGTGTAAACATTCGATGTTGTCAATGTAGATGTTAGTTATGGGGTTAGATGGTGACCAGGGTGTGTAATGGGATGGTAGATGGTGACCAGGGCGAGTTATGGGATGGTAGTTGGTGACCAGTAGGTGTTGACCAGGATGTGTGATTGGATGGTAGGTGGTTGCCTAAGCGTGTAAAGTGATTTGACATAAGAAATCAAGAAAAATGAATCATCAAGAGATAAGCTAATTGGTTATTTTCAAAACCCCAAAATAAAACGGCAACAAAAACTTCAAAACCGAATGGCAAAGCGTAAAATCTGTGATCAGTTGCCGCCTTAGACATTAGCTCTCTAGCTAGACCAACATCAAGCCCCACACTAGTCAGTCATTAGCTCACGAACTACACCGACATTAAGCTCCACATTAGTCAGTCATTAGCTCTCTAGCTCCACCAGCATTAAGCTCCACACTGTACGACGTGTAACACCTGTTCGTCACCTGATCAATCAGGTGATAACTGATATTTCCATTTTACCAATTTACGCATGATGGTACATGACGGTACATGACGGTACATGATGGTACAGCTGCATAATTAAAATAATCAAAGTAGTAATGACCAAATCTACATTTCGATAATTAGCTTCATAAATAAAATAATTAAAATATTGTTGAATTATCATTTAAATAAAGCACCACTATAGTAGATTTACATTATTGTTAAACCAATGTTATCGCCGATATGATATAATTACATAATTACGTTAATGAACCTCATCTTCTGAGTGATATTCCGCTTCATTGTTTCTAATAATCTCTTGTTATTTTCTTTAACAACCTAACCATGACGCATGTATCATTAACTTTTACAAACTTGAATCGCTCACCTCTATTATTTTATCTTTAAGAGATTTAATATAACAGAGATCTTGTACAGAATTTTTTCTTGGGTGGCTGGGGGGTAGGGTAGCCGCCTACTGTAATACACCCTGGTGCAGTGGCGTAGGCAAGGGAGGGGGGTCATAACCCCCCCCCCCCCATAGACCCCTCGGTATATATATATATGAAGTATGAGGGGGGGTGCAAATCGAAAGTTTGAGGGGGGGGGGGGGGGGTTGCAAATCTCGAAAGCTTGTCCCCGGGTAAAAATTGGACCCCCCTTGAGACGATCCTGGCTACGCCACTGCCCTGGTGCGCTTATTAAAATCGGTGCAAATAATAAAGTATAAGAAAAAGTATTTCCTAACATAAAAATATACTAATTGGATTTTTAAAAATCACAATGATACAAAGATAATGAAATAAGAACGATAATGCAAAATTTAGCCCCTGCATAAATTTAAAGCCCCTTCAGTGCATGTAGGCCTACATATTTTTTCTTCAGCTGAGATAAAAATGTGTGGACAATTTTAAAAAAAAATCTCACTGAAAAAATGTCAAAGACGAAACACTAACAAAATCAGCGTCAAATGATTTTTAGTTAAACCCAGATTTTTGTGAAAATTTAATAATAAAAATAAAATAAAAAACTTAAACAGAAACACAATTTTACAAAGAAACTTAATTTAACATGCGCTAAATTTAAAAAAAAAATTACTTGCGGAAAAAAAATAGCGAACGAATTCTAATGCTGTTTTCTTTTGATCAAAGTTTTAAAGGCATTGGGTTTTTTTAAAAAAAAAAAAATCTCGTCTCATTGAAGTGATGCAAGCAAAAATAGAAGTAAATTTCAAACAAAATCATGTCATTACGTCATTAGCTAGTCTTCAAAGGGCGGCAACAAATGATTTCAGCGTGGATTTTATTCTAATAGCTGTAAAAGAAATGATCTTTTAATCACAAAAGCTGTTACGCTGACCACAAATTCTTTGTTCATGTCAAACCAGGTGATAAAAAAAAACCTCACAGCAAATTGAAATGGTGGGAATTTTTTTTTTAAAGTGAATGCTTAAAAGTAATATTATAACAATATATTTCATGTGAAAGATTTGCGTAGTTTTTGAACAACTGGATATTGTGAGAGTAGAGTGGATATCTATTTCTGAAGATATTATTATGTTTTTAAAATTTTGTTCACAATTATCTTTATCGAGCAGGTTACATATGGGATTTGTAATAAAAAAAGTAAACAAAAATAACTGAATTTCTCGGAAGTTTATTTGTGATACAATCTACTTTTAAAACATCTGCGTGTTTAAGAACACGTTTAAAAATTAGAAGCATGGGCTACAACTCAACATCCATCACTAGACTATTTCATCTAACTCTATGCTTCTACCCCGCAGGTCGGGCTAAAGACCCCCTCAGGTCGGGCTAAAGACCCCCTCAGGTCGGGCTAAAGACCCCCCCCCCCCCAAGCATAGTCTACAACTCGACATCCATCACTAGACTATTTCATCTGACTCTATACTTCTACCCCACAGGTCGGGCTAAAGACCCCCCCCCCCCCCAGCATAGCCTACAACTCAACATCCATCACTAGACTATTTCATCTAACTCTATGCTTCTATCCCGCAGGTCGGGCTAACCCCCCCCCCCCCACCATGGGCTGCAACTCGACACCCATCACTAGACTATTTAAATTGACTCTATGCTTCTACCCCGCAGGTCGGGCTAAAGACCCCCCCCCCCATCATGGGCTGCAACTCCTCCACGACGAAGACCGTGAGTCGGGCCAACGAGAAGGAGATGAGTTTCTACCTGACGCAGGAGGAGATGGAGCTGGCCCGTGACTCCTGGGCCATCGTGGCCCTGGACCTACCGGCCACTGGCCTTCACATCTTCACCAGGTAAGTCAAGTTGGAGACTTCTTCTTTAGCCGACCGGGAAGTATCGAATTTATTCCTCCGGGTATCGTTAACCTTACAAATCTAAACCTAATAGCGATACCGGAAATAAACAAAATGCGGTGCAGTAGCGCCTTGCTGAAAACAAGCTGTTGTTTGTTGGTAAATGGTGTGTAACCTGATTTTATCACGGACCCTTACCATGTCTGATCAGCGAAAATTGGTCAGTAAATCGATAAAATGCAACATGAATGTGTTATTTTTAGTCCTAATCAATGAACTAGTATTGATAATTAATGAAAGTTAACACAATCTCTAAAAGTCGAAATAGGCAACCTGCCCTGTCCATTAGCTCACCTGGACTACCTGTCCTGTCCATTAGCTCACCTGGAATACCTGTCCGTTAGCTCACCTGGACTACCTGTCCTGTCCATTAGCTCACCTGGACTACCTATCCTGTCCGTTAGCTCACCTGGACTACCTGTCCGTTAGCTCACCTGGACTACCTGTCCATTAGCTCACCTGGACTACCTGTCCGTTAGCTCACCTGGACTACCTGTCCTGTCCGTTAGCTCACCTGGACTACCTGTCCGTTAGCTCACCTGGACTACCTGTCCATTAGCTCACCTGGACTACCTGTCCGTTAGCTCACCTGGACTACCTGTCCTGTCCGTAAGCTCACCTGGACTACCTGTCCGTTAGCTTACCTGGACTACCTGTCCATTAGCTCACCTGGACTACCTGTCCGTTAGCTCACCTGGACTACCTGCCCTGTCCATAAGCTCACCTGGACTACCTGTCCTGTCCATTAGCACACCTGGACTCGTTAGCTCACCTGAACTACCTGCCCTGTCCGTTAGCTCACCTGAACTACCTGTCCTGTCCATTAGCTCATCTGGACTACCTGTCCTGTCCGTTAGCTCACCTGGACTACCTGTCCTTTAGCTCACCTGGACTACCTGTCCGTTAGCTCACCTGGACTACCTGTCCTGTCCGTTAGCTCACCTGGACTACCTGTCCGTTAGCTTACCTGGACTACCTGTCCATTAGCTCACCTGGACTACCTGTCCGTTAGCTCACCTGGACTACCTGCCCTGTCCATAAGCTCACCTGGACTACCTGTCCTGTCCATTAGCACACCTGGACTCGTTAGCTCACCTGAACTACCTGCCCTGTCCGTTAGCTCACCTGAACTACCTGTCCTGTCCATTAGCTCATCTGGACTACCTGTCCTTTAGCTCACCTGGACTACCTGTCCGTTAGCTCACCTGGACTACCTGTCCATTAGCTCACCTGGACTACCTGTCCGTTAGCTCACCTGGACTACCTGTCCTGTCCGTTAGCTCACCTGGACTACCTGTCCGTTAGCTCAACTGGACTACCTGTCCTGTCCGTTAGCTCACCTGGACTACCTGTCCATTAGCTCACCTGGACTACCTGTCCGTTAGCTCACCTGGACTACCTGTCCTGTCCGGTAGCTCACCTGGACTACCTGTCCATTAACTCACCTGGACTACCTGTCCTGTCCGTTAGCTCACCTGGACTACCTGTCCGTTAGCTCACCTGGACTACCTGTCCTGTCCATTAGCTCACCTGGACTACCTGTCCATTAGCTCACCTGGACTACCTGTCCGTTAGGTCACCTGGACTACCTGTCCGTTAGCTCACCTGGACTACCTGTCCTGCCCATTAACTCACCTGGACTACCTGTCCATTAGCTCACCTGGACTACCTGTCATTAGCTCACCTGGACTACCTGTCCATTAGCTCACCTGGACTACCTGTCCGTTAGCTCACCTGGACTACCTGGACTACCTGTCCGTTAGCTCACCTGGACTACCTGTCCATTAGATCACCTGGACTACCTGTCCATTAGCTCACCTGGACTACCTGTCCGTTAGCTCACCTGGACTACCTGTCCGTTAGCTCACCTGGACTACCTGTCCTGCCCATTAACTCACCTGGACTACCTGTCCGTTAGCTCACCTGGACTACCTGTCCGTTAGCTCACCTGGACTACCTGTCCGTTAGCTCACCTGGCCTACCTGTCCTGTCCGTTAGCTCACCTGGACTACCTGTCCTTTAGCTCACCTGGACTACCTGTCCGTTAGCTCACCTGGACTACCTGTCCTGTCCGTTAGCTCACCTGGACTACCTGTCCGTTAGCTTACCTGGACTACCTGTCCATTAGCTCACCTGGACTACCTGTCCGTTAGCTCACCTGGACTACCTGCCCTGTCCATAAGCTCACCTGGACTACCTGTCCTGTCCATTAGCACACCTGGACTCGTTAGCTCACCTGAACTACCTGCCCTGTCCGTTAGCTCACCTGAACTACCTGTCCTGTCCATTAGCTCATCTGGACTACCTGTCCTGTCCGTTAGCTCACCTGGACTACCTGTCCTTTAGCTCACCTGGACTACCTGTCCGTTAGCTCACCTGGACTACCTGTCCATTAGCTCACCTGGACTACCTGTCCGTTAGCTCACCTGGACTACCTGTCCTGTCCGTTAGCTCACCTGGACTACCTGTCCGTTAGCTCACCTGGACTACCTGTCCTGTCCGTTAGCTCACCTGGACTACCTGTCCATTAGCTCACCTGGACTACCTGTCCGTTAGCTCACCTGGACTACCTGTCCTGTCCGTTAGCTCACCTGGACTACCTGTCCATTAACTCACCTGGACTACCTGTCCTGTCCGTTAGCTCACCTGGACTACCTGTCCGTTAGCTCACCTGGACTACCTGTCCTGTCCATTAGCTCACCTGGACTACCTGTCCATTAGCTCACCTGGACTACCTGTCCGTTAGGTCACCTGGACTACCTGTCCGTTAGCTCACCTGGACTACCTGTCCTGCCCATTAACTCACCTGGACTACCTGTCCATTAGCTCACCTGGACTACCTGTCATTAGCTCACCTGGACTACCTGTCCATTAGCTCACCTGGACTACCTGTCCGTTAGCTCACCTGGACTACCTGGACTACCTGTCCGTTAGCTCACCTGGACTACCTGTCCATTAGATCACCTGGACTACCTGTCCATTAGCTCACCTGGACTACCTGTCCGTTAGCTCACCTGGACTACCTGTCCGTTAGCTCACCTGGACTACCTGTCCTGCCCATTAACTCACCTGGACTACCTGTCCGTTAGCTCACCTGGACTACCTGTCCGTTAGCTCACCTGGACTACCTGTCCGTTAGCTCACCTGGCCTACCTGTCCATTAACTCACCTGGACTGCTTGTCCATTAACTCACCTGGACTGCCTGTCCATTAGCTCACCTGGACTACCTGTCCGTTAGCTCACCTGGACTACCTGTCCGTTAGCTCACCTGGACTACCTGTCCTGTCCGTTAGCTCACCTGGACTACCTGTCCGTTAGCTCACCTGGACTACCTGTCCAATAGCTCACCTGGACTACCTGTCCATTAAAAGCCTTCGATTGGATGGCGGGATGGGAAAGTGTGGCCCGGATGTGGATTACCTGTGATCACGTGGGTAGGATAGACACGCAACAACGGCGGGGTTTGTGTGTTTGGTGTGGGAGTTAGTATGTGTGTGTATCTGGTGTGGGATGTGACATGTGAGGGTGTTAGATGTGGGATATGATGTGTGGGTGTGTTTGGCGTGGGAGTTAGCTTGCGTGTGTATTTGGTGTGGAATGAGGCGTTAAGTGTTTGGTGTGGGATGTGATGTGTGGGTGTGTTAGGTGTGGGATATGATGTGTGAGTGTGTTGGTGTGGGAGTTAGCGTGGTGAAGGCAGTGTTTCTTCCAGACGTTTTTCTCAGGAGGGGGGGAAGGGGCACTTGATATTTTCTGGGGGAGGGGGGGCTAAATTTTCCGGGGGCGGACACTGGTAAAAGTATATGCTTTCTATATAAATTACAGAGATGCCTGGAAGAAACTCTGGGTGATGGGATGTTTTCTAAGGGCTTCGATATCGCACCCCCCCTCCACTCTCTCAAACCAGCAAACAGTTTACGTTAAATAGTAGTCACTGGGGAAAAAGCCCAGTAATCATTTTGTGTGTGCTGTAAACCAAAGATCCTCTAAATAGGCAATGGCACCATCCACACTTAATACTCACAACAGTTGCGTTCTCACCTCCAATTTGATATAAATTTTAATTTAAGGGAGATTATTCGTAATATAATTCTAAACACCATTTTCAAGTTTTTAAAACGCATGTTATGAAAAAGCACAACAATAATAAACATTTTTATAATTTATAATGGTATTTAAAATAAATTTTAACAGCTATTATTTAAAAAAAAAATATTTTTTAGATTTAAAATTGTAATACTAATAAAGACTAAGCACTTTAAACTGTTTAAATTTTAAAATATAATATATTTACATTCCACTTAGTTTTTTCGTTGATTAAAACATGTAAATTTAGTATGGTGGGAGATTTGTCTGACTTAAAATATTTAGTATGCCGTGGTTTATGGCTGTGTTAAAATGTTTTGGATGCTGTGGTTTATGTCTGACTTAAAATGTTTTGGATGCTGTGGTTTATGGCTGTGTTAAAATGTTTAGTATGCTGTGGTTTATGTCTGTCTTAATATGTTTAGGATGCCATGGTTTATGTCTGTCTTAAAATGTTTAGTATGCTGTAGTTTATGTCTGACTTATAATGTTTAGTATGCTGTAGTTTATGTCTGACTTATAATGTTTAGTATGCTGTAGTTTATGTCTGACTTATAATGTTTAGTATGCGGTGGTTTATGACTGTGTTAAAATGTTTAGTATGCTGTGGTTTATGTCTGTCTTAATATGTTTTGGATGCTGTGGTTTATGGCTGTGTTAAAATGTTTAGGATGCCATGGTTTATGTCTGTCTTAAAATGTTTAGTATGCTGTAGTTTATGTCTGACTTATAATGTTTAGTATGCTGTAGTTTATGTCTGACTTATAATGTTTAGTATGCTGTAGTTTATGTCTGACTTATAATGTTTAGTATGCTGTAGTTTATGTCTGACTTATAATGTTTAGTATGTTGT